ACCATTAAAACCTTATTAATCATATCTACTTGATTCAAGTAGAAATACAAACACAACCAAGTTTCAACGAAGGCATACAACTTTAAACTAAAAATACTCCAATATATTTTCAAATTTAATTCTACAAAAAAAACAATACAAACACTTGGTTGATTTAAATATATACTAATTTATGTATTTTTACTTAAATAAATCAATTCGCCTAATCGAAGGTCACGCCATTATTTGCGTAAACATACTCTTTTAAATATTGCCGTTTAAATATTACGTTTAAAAAAAGTTTTTTTATCACGTTAAAAAAAACGTTTTAAAAACGTTCATAAGCTAACCGTAAGTTAATAAAAAAAATAAAACGTTTAAAAAACGCTAAAAAAACGTTTAAATTAACATTAAAAAAAACGTTTGCAAAAAAACGTTTTAAAAACGATTGTATTGGTTCTTTTAACGTCCGACCGTAAATTGAACGGATTTAAAACGTTTTAAAAACGTCCTGTGCTTACTGGGTTTGTTGGGGTATTTATGAGTAGTTTTGGTGAAGTAAGAGTGAAATATTTTAGAAGATAAACCATCTTTTGTCTTAAAAATTAGAGGCATAACTTTCTATATGTTAAGTTTATAATCATTGAGTGTATTAGTTTCCATTAAAAGAGATTCACCATTAACAGTTCTGTTAACACCAAACCTATTTCTACATGCCTGTTTTTGTTTGGTATAGATTATTTTGAGCTTCCCATTATTAGTCCTTCCCCGTGCAATATTGCTAAAGTAAAGATAACTATGAATAAATGAAAATATATAAATTTATAAGACTGAATATTAGGAAATAGTTAAACTTTATACAACAGTGAAATAGATTTCATCTGATATTTCCATGATAAATTTTCATCTATAATCACTCCTAGAAGGTTAACCGTTGACTACCTTTTAATAGCTGTTTTTATTCATAAAGAGATAGGGTAATTTTAATTAATGGTAATATCTCCTAGTAGGTTTGTGGAATAAAATAAACTCAGTTTTCTCAACATTTAATGGAAGTTTATTAATTGTAATTCAGTCATTTATTTTTAATAATTCGAATTATCAGCGAATAAAATAATATTAAAAACTTCATACACTAAATAAAAATCATTTTGTAAAGGGTAAAATTAAAAGTTGGTCTAAGATAGATCCTTAAAGAATACAACAAATTATAGTATGTTTATCTGTTCCATTTGCTGAATATATTAAGTAATGCTCTCTGGTTTACAGGTATCTTTTAAACCATAGTAAGTTATTGTTTTGTATTCCATACAGTTCTAGTTTTTTTATAAGAATATCATGGTCAACAGTGTCAAATACCTATGACAAATCAATAAAAACTCCTAATATATATTAACCATTAATGACCCTATTGGATATATAATTAATTAGCTCGACTAGAGCATGATCCATAAAATGATTCTTTTTGAACCCAATTTATTTATTACACATTATATTGTTCTCAGTTAAAAAACTATTGAGTCTATCATGCATATTTTAATCTAACAGTTTTGAGAAGCATCGTAAAACAGAAATAGGTCTACAATTTGACATATTTAAGTCGTTGTTAGATTTAAAAATAGGTGTTATCCTTGCAATTTTTAATTTCCCAACTATTCCGGTTTTAATGACAGATTAAAAATGTAAGACATTAACAGTTCAATAATAACAAACACTGCTTTAACAACATTTACGCTTATTTGATCAATGCCAGCACATTTATTATTTTTGAGACAATTAAAGACATTGCAACTCACTATATATATGAATATATATATATATATATATATATATATATATATATATATATATATATATATATATATATATATATACATATATATATATATAAATATATATTTATATATATATATATATATATATATATATATTTTTATATATATATATATATAATATATGTATACATATGTATAAATATAAATTCCTAAACATAAAGATTTGAAGTCAATTTTTCAAAATTAGATTTCGGTACCAAAACTTTGGGGTCCTATAAAGTATCAAAAAAGGATGTGGTAGAGTGGTACTTTTAAAGAGTGTTAAATAAAGTAATAAGGAGGAGGGGGTTTTGGGTGGAAAAACAATTTTAAAAGCACGCTCTTATTTTGAACAAAATTTCGTAGTTTATTTAGTTTTATTCAAAGTTAAAACTTTTTTTCAAAAGCGTACGTCACTTTGTCACAAGGGGGAAAGGAGATCATCAAAATTTATAATTTTTGGTTGGCGTACTTTATGAATAACCCCTATTTCTATTATGTAATGGGATAATGGAAGAATTGTTAATAGTTTTTTAGTCCTAAAGGGTAAGCACTTTGAGGGCACATGCACTCTTTTTAGACTAAGGGAATTACCATAAAACTTAGTGTTACTTTTTCTGTGGCCATACAATCACCAGCTGGTCATTGATTATGGCTGCCACTAATGGTTCACTAAGTAATTGATAAGTAAAACATCAGCGAACCGCTCAAAATCTTTTTATTGAGTCCGCTCCTAAAAAAAATAAAACAAAATTTGCTGTATTGAATTCTCTGATATATAAATTCACTAAGTCTAAAGCTTATATACTTTTGCCTAATTTATGGGTGGTTTATCTTAAACCAACTATAGAACTACTATATGACAGGACGAGCAAAGTTTAATTATCTAAAGATGAAGTTGAGAAACATTATTCGATTAATCTAAAGAATATTTTATGTTTGAAAAATATTGGCTTGAAAATACAGAAATGTCTAAGTTTCCTCTTTGCTATGCTCAATCAGAATGTGCATCAATTATTTTTTATTGTTCCTTTTATTTGTCTACCAACACCAAAGCTAGTGCTTTGCCAATATTAGCCTGAAGATCAGTAATTTTATTATTTTCATTAAATAAACAAAGTTATTTTGTTTGTTTTCTTAATTAGTTTTCCCAATTCTATCAAAGAATTTCTTTTTTTTGTGTGTGACTTTTTTTATATAGATACACAGAAAATATGAAAATTTTGTAAAATTCCGGCAAAAAGATGAATTTATATGCATTTTTATGTTAAAGGAATTTAAAGACAGCTTCATGATTAAATTTGTTTATAATAAGTGTACAGTGTGTTTAAGATTAATTTTTTCTGCTTTTAAACATGGCATTAGCGTTCCATTAAGCAATATATTGAATCTCAAAAATGGCTTAACAATTTACTCACAGTTTTTTGAAGCTACTAATTTAGTTTATAGTTATAATCTGTATGTTAATGGTGTTATTGAAAAGGTGAAAATTATTCTTTCAGAATTTGAACTTGAATTCTATGATGCTTTCAACTGAAATTTTTGACAAGACATTTTAAATTATTGTATAATAGAAGTTTCTATAGCCGATTATTTTTTTTATATCTCCAACTACTATCAACTTCGTAATTTTTTTGTGCTTCCAAGTAAACAAAAGCTGCAGCCAATAGTTTCTGCCACAAACATTGATCTTGTATAACTAAAAACATTTAAAAGAGGAGATCTAGAATCTAATACAATTTTTATGCTATACTGAAATGGTTTCATAGTGGACCTAATTTAATGGTATCTGTTACAACGGTTCACAAACTAACATGTATCAATTCAGTGTTGTGAATGAAGCTGCTTTTGTAACTAAAAAAAAAAAATGGTGGTATTATTTTCAGACGTGTATCAGATAATCAAAGAATCAATCTGCATTACTAACAATTTTTCAAAATTATTACTAACTAACAGGCCATTCATCAATTAGATGATCAGCATGTTTAGTTTTTTTTTATTTGATACAGTACATCTTCTTAATTATTTAAGTAACAACTGGATTTTTGAAAACTGTCAAAACTATTCTCTTGAAAATAAATCCATTGGTTTCTTTTCTAAAGTCAAAAAACTTTATCAATATGGAAAAAAAAAAGACATTGAAGTTATTCCTACATCTCGCTGCTGTTTATCTTTCTGGAATTCAACAACAGAATGCACATGTTTTAAGAATATTTGTTAAGAAATTAGTAGCTGCTTTGAAACTAAAAAGCGCTAATAAAATATCCTTTTTTATTTAATTTAAATTGCTGCAATGTTTCTAGAATAAGTGAAAGTGAAACAACCCAATAAAAAAGATCACAAATGTGAAGGTCCAATCAATTTTGAAAATGCAATCTCAGTTGTGAGTCTTTCAGAAAAAGAGGAGAGCTCTGCTACACCTATGGCGGGGTGACTAGAAAAAAAAAAACGATGTTGAACTAAATTACGCTGAGGATGAATATATGCTAACGTATGAAACTAAACACATTAAAGAGGTTTCACGAGGATATTTGACAGTTTCATGAGTGTACTTATCAGCTAATTAGAATTAGGTTATGCTTGGTGAAAAAAAAAGAAAATAGAGCATTTTGTAGAAAAGATTTTCAAACATTCTGTCTATAATCGACACATTATAATTTTTTTTTATCATCAAAAAATGTTTTTAGGCGTTTGACAAATGTTTTTTTCTATAGAAGTTAAAATTTAGAAAAAGATCAAGCAAAAAGTGCATGACAGACATCAATTTGAAAGGCACGCCTTGCCGAGTAATATTTATAGATCGAATTTATTATCATGCTGTTAAATTGCTTATGGAATTTATTATACTGTCTTTTTATGTATTTATATAAAAAATAAGTTTTAAAAACAATTTACCTTTTTTTAAAATCTTCTGGCGAATAATTATTTTTTGCAGATAAATTTTTAGCAGTTTATCATATTGATTTTTTGTTCTTTTTAACAATGCTTTTCAGTTGTTATTAATTTTTACTTCGTTATTAAGTTTTTAATAATACTAACTTACAAAACGTTCTTTATTTTTTTATTTTATTATTTTTTTATTTTTGTTTTAGTTTTATTATTTTATTCTTAAAAAACATTTTTGGTTAAATTTAACTCTATAAGTGTTTATTAAGAAGTGTTGAATGGCCTTTGCTAGTGAAATGAAAAAATCGACTTTGCACGTCC